TGCTGCTGCTGCTGCTGCTGGTCTGAGGGTGTCTCCTCGAGAGCAGCAGGAGGCTTAGCAGCTGTGGCGCCCTGCCGCTGCTGCTGGCTGCTGCTGCTGCTGCTGCTGCTGCTGCTGTCTCCTCCTCCAGGCAGCTCCTCAGCAGCAGTTTTGGAGACAGCCATCGAAGGATGACAAAAAAATAAAAAGAAGAAGACAGAAGGAGACAAGCACTAAAAAGAGAGACAGCAACGGAAGCACCTACAGATGAGTGGCGCCCTGCCGCTGCTGCTGGCTGCTGCTTCTGTTGTTTTTGCTGCTGCTGCTGCTGCTGTAAGTGGCACTGGTGATGCTGCTGCTGCTTATACTCTTGGTGTGTTGCTGCAGATCCGCTTTTGCTGCTGCTGCTGCTGCATCTGCTGCTGGTGCTGCTGCTGCAGTGACAGCCCTCACTCAGCAGCAGCCGGTCGACGGTATTGAGGCTTGATGAGACCCATTGAGGTGTATTGGCATCTCTTTATCTCTCCTCGCGTTGCTGTTGCTGCTGTTGCTGCTGCTGCTGCAGCAGCTGCTGCTGCAGCTGTCTTTGCTGCCGGTGTTGCTGCTAATATCAGCCCTCACGCACCCCCTACTAAGCACCAATGGAGAACAATGGCGCCTGTTGCTGCAGCTGCAGTCAAACTCGCTGCTGCAGCAGCAGCAGCAGCAGCTGCAGCAGCAGCAGCAGCAGCCTGGCGGGCCGGTCCAGGGTCTCAGGGGCCCACCGGGGGGTTAAAGGGGCTTTGTCTTCTGTTGTTTATCTGTAAGTTTGCTGCAAATTGCATGCAGATTGAGGGTTTATATGGGGATTCTGCTGCTGCTGTTGCTGCTGTTGCTGCTGCTGCTGTTGTTGCTGCTGCGACCCGCCACAGCCGCGTTCGGGCCTCAGCTCCTGGGGCCTCCTCGGGCTGCTGCTGCTGCTGCTGTTGCAGCTGCTGCTGCTGCTGCTTTGCTGTTGCATGTCTATTTAAATAAAGTCTTTTGAGGTGTTATTGTCTACAGCGGATTTCTTTGTTTATATCTCCAGCTGTACGTACACCGCAACAGTCGCAGCAGCAGTGGCTGCTGCGAGCTGCTGCAGCAAACCCTTTGCAGCTGCAACTCATCTGCTGAAGCAGCAGCAGCAGCAACAGCAACAACAGCAACAGCAGCAGCAACCACACCAGCGACCTTAGAGAGGGTCTCGTCACATGGTGCCCTGTGCTGCCCCCGGCACACAAAACCCTAAACCCTAAACCCTAAACCCCAAACCCTAAACCCCAAACCCTAAACCCTAAAGAGTAGGGTGGTTTAAGGCTTAGGACCAGGACGCTGTACAAGTACCGCCTGGTGTGTGTGAGACAGCTAACCACAGCAGCAACACGTGCAGCCGCAGCAGCAGCAGCTGCTGCTGCAGCAGTTGCAGCTGTAGCAGCAGCAACAGCAGCAGCAGCAACAACAACAGCAGCAGCAGCAGCAGCAACAGCAACATTGGCAACAACAACCGCGTCAGTAGCAACAGCAGCAGAAGCAACAGCAGCAGCGTCAGTAGCATCAGCAGCAAGAGCTGCAGCAGTAGCAGCAGCAGCAGTAGCATAATCATCAAAAACTTGGAACAGCAGCAGCAGCAGCAGCAGCAGCAGCAGCAGGAACAGGAGGATGTCTGTGTCTAGCCTGGGTGCAGCAGTACCTGCTGCTTATGAAGAGACAGTCTCTGCTTCAGATGGGGGCTCCGTCGACTCGCTGTTTATTGCTGATATTCATGAGCGCCGAGAAGACAAAAGGAGACAGTTAGAAGCTGAGGAGACAGACAGCGATGAAGGAGACAGGGGTATTATCAACGACTTGCTGCGGCACTTCAGACATTGCTGCGCGAGCAGAAAGAAGGGCCGCTATGCACCTGCTGCTGCTGCTACTGCTGCTGCTTCAGCACCATCTGCTGCTGCTGCTGCTGCTGCTTCTACCCTTGCTGCAGCAACAAAGGGACCCACACGTGCCCAAACCTACTCCGTCTCCGGCAGCAGCAGCAGCAGCAGCAGCAGCAGCAGCGCAGCACGAAGCACCTTCGTAGACAGATATATGGGCGATCTTGCACATGTTGTTCAGTGGAGGATCTTACTGGGGGCCCCGGGGGCCCCGGGGGCCCTAGGGGGCCCCCCTTCATTAACAACAAATCAGGCTGCTTGGGCTGCATGCAGATGGTGTGCATGCATAGAGAACAACGAGAAGATGTGCAGCAAAATGCTCTCATATTTGCTTCTAGCAGCAGAGCAGCAAAAAGCTGCTGTAGATATATCGCATGCAATTAAGGAGACACCTGACTTCAAGTGTATCCTCTTCTCAAGAAAATTAGAGGGTAGGGGCCCCGAAGATGTCTTAGGCGATTTCAGTGGTTTATATCTCTCAAGTGCTGGTGGGGGGGCCCCCTCAGGGGGGGGGCCCCCAGGGGGGGGGCCCCCAGGGGGCCCCCTTGGGGGCCCCCTAGGGGGCCCCAGTGGGGCTGTATATGGTGTGTTACAAGCACCTAGAGTGGTGGGGTTGTTTGCAAGAAGGTATGGGGAGCTTGAAGATTTTAGTGTCTTTAATGTGAATCCTCTAGAGAAGGAAGGCTTCCCGCCGAGCTTTATTGGGTTTAAATCGTATGTCTAAACCCTAAACCCTAAACCCTAAACCCTTAGTGAATAAACCCTAAAGAGATAAACAGCAAAAAAATATATATATTCTTATACCCTAAACCCTAAAGCTTTAATATATAAACCCTAAACAAATAACACAGCAGGAGGTAAAATATTTGCATACACAAGGCATGAAACATTCAAAGGTTTAGGGTTTAGGGTTTAGGGTTTAGGGTTTAGGGTTT